TTACTATTATTATCCCATAAATATCCCCACAAAGAGTACAAGTGAGATGTGAAGTACTAGGATCGAGAGAACAAGTGATAGATTGGAAGGACAAAATCTTTTCTATTATAGCATGTACAAGTGAGCATAAAAAAGAGGAGGGAACAGTGTTGGGGTAAGAATTGGGATTAGAGATCTCATCCATTCTCAATCTTTTCAGTGAAGTGAGTTGCAATATTTATAGCAGTCAAGTTAGAAGGAGGAGGAGCAGCAACATTGTGCAGTATAGAGTAAAAAGTGTTAAAGAGGCATTTGGGTTATCAGGAGAACATGGTCACGAGGAAGTCAGATGCAGAATTAAACTTTCTCTGGCACCGTTCAGCCATTCTGGAGTATTTTTGGAGAAAACAGGTCAGCTTAGTGTGCCAAGGTTACCACCGGGGTCACTTACAAAGTAATATATTACAAGATTAGTTAGTTCTGTAAGACTCTTGAATTTTGCAGTGCTTCATTACAGCCTCTTTGATGTCCTTGTTTCTTAGCGTGTATATGATCGGGTTAAGGATTGGTGTCACAACAGTATAAAAGAGACACAGGATTTTGCTGAAAGATGCAGATTTTCCTTTAGGTGGAAGAGTGTATGTACATATTAGAGTTCCATAGTATATAGAAACCACAGCGAGGTGGGAACTGCAGGTGGAGAAGGCTTTCTGTCTCCCAGTAATAGAAGGAATTTTTAAAATGGTAAGGACAATATAAATATAGGATACCATGACAATTGTAAATGGTATTATTAGAATAGGGGCACAAAGTAAGAGAGTTTCTATTTGTACTACTAAGGTATCAGAACAAGAAAGGTCCAGCAATGGAGCAACATCACAGAAGAAATGGTCAATGTGTTCTGAACCACAAAATTGTAAATTACCTATTGTTATTGAAGCAATTAGTGTTAGTGATAAGCCTAATATCCAAGACAGGACAATCAGTTTGAGGCATAAGGTTGAGTCCATTATAGAGTTATAATGTAGAGGAAAACAGATAGCTAGATATCTGTCATAAGACATGACAGTCAGAAGGAAGCACTCAGAAACTGCAGAGACAGCAAATAAATAAAGCTGAAAAATGCAGCATTTCAAAGACATGAAATTCCCTTTATTGTATATTATAGAAAGCATTTCAGGGACAATGTTTGTGGTCATAAGCATGTCTGAAATGGACATTTGTGTGAGAAAAAAGTACATGGGAGAATGAAGAATTTTGCTGACTATCACCAATACAATAATAAGGATATTTGCAAATAATGTCAGAAGGTAGATACCAAGGATTTGACTGAAGATTAAAATCCTGAAACTGCCGAGATTTGGAAATCCCAAGAGAAAGACCTCTGTGATCATTGTTTGGTTCTTCATGTTCAAGGACTGTTGGTGAAGAGATAAAGAACAAAATAAATTACAAGTCAGTTGAGCCATACAGTCCTGGCACATTATATTCTGTCCAGATACATGAAGTTCACGAGAGATATACTGTAATGAGTTTTAGAGAGTTTACACTTAAGCTTTATAGGCAAATGGAGAATCTTAGTTTCAGATTCAACACTAAACTCAGCTAAATGGTACTCGACTAGATGGAATGTGTGTACAGAGTGATGATGCATAGGAAATTCCATATATGGCATCTTCAAATTCTCCTTTTTGCAACTCTATTGAGATATCAATGTAGGCATTTTGGTTTTAGCATTTTGAAAATATGTTTTTCTTTTAAAACACAGTCTGCTCTATATTTTAACCTTGTTAAAAGTACAAATGATCATTTGACAATAATTATATATATATATATAGAGAGAGAGAAAAAGGGAGAGAGAGAGAGAGAGAGAGAGAGAGAGAGGGAGAGAGAGAGAGAGAGAGATAGATTGGTATCCTGATTATCTGCAATTCTAGTGTTCACTAGTATTTTACATAGTAGTTTACATTTCCTACATTCCTAGATTCGAGGCAACCTTTTTATGCAAGCAGAACATCTATTAAGAACAAGGGGCACAATCTCAGGAAAAAAAAGTGGTAACCATCTACACTGCCTTTAACACACTATCATTTTTGGAAATATTCTTCTACTGTTACCTTTGCTATAAACAAAGTTTGTCTCTTTTCTCTGCTAAAGAAAACTATTTCAATTCGCTCATAACCATACCCTCCTGAGAACCCATATGTTTCTTATATACTTTAAACATTCATATTCACACTGTTGCCACTCCTCTTACTAAACTGTCCAGTCCAGACTTTGCAACTTACTTCACTGAGTTGATTGCTACAATCAAAGAGATCTTAAATCTCTTTCCTACCCCGGCCAACAATCCCCCCACCCGACTCACTCTTCTATCTGATTCTCATTCACATCAGCTACAGATAAACGTATTTTCAGCTCACATTTGCTCCTGTGCACCCATTGCCAGTTTACTCAATATTATTCCCTCACATTCAGTCTCCTTCTCTTGCACTGCTTCTATTTAATCTTTCATTCACCGGTAGTGTTCCTTTGAAGCATGCAACCATAACCCAACTCTAAAAAAGCCCAACTTTACCCAAACTCTCCATCCAACTACCACCCTATCACGCAACTTATATTTCTTTTCAAGATACTTAAAAGAGTTGTGTGTAAAAGACTGACCAATTTCCTTGAATCTAACTTACTGCTTGGCCCACTTCAGTCTTGATTTTGTACTTATCACACTGTTGAAATATCCCTGCTCAAAAATCCAGTGGCCATTACTCTCTTCTAATTCTCATTGACCACTTCCTGCTTTTGACACTGTTTATCATAAAACTTTCTTCCCATTCTTCCCATTCTCAGTATATGATACTTTGCTCTTTATTTGCTCTTTATTTGTAGTTTTCGTACCACTACCAGTACTCTTTCAGTTTCTTAACATTCTCATTGATTTCAGTCTCTCCTTCACACCCATCAATCACCAAATCCCATTGTTTAAATCACCAAAGTATAGTTCACATCTGTCTCTATCTAATGCTGGATGTCATTATCTGTATAATTAACTCATCCATGCCAATTTCATCTCCAGCCTTGGCTACTGCAATGAGATTTTCACTGCTGTTATTCACTCCCATCTTAACCTGATACAGTTTATGATGAATGCTGTGGCAGTGCTCAGCAGTGCCATGTCGATCAGCTCTTGCATTGGTCTCTCATAAGTTATATGGTTTAGGTACCTGTACCTCTGCTTCTAGCCTTCAAAACTACTCTAGTTCCTTTGAAACTGCCTTCTTTGCTCCATTAGACTTTAACCCAGTCTTCATTCCAAATCTATACAAACTCACTGATTTTCATTGCATATCAAATAAACTGTTAACAGCTTTCCCTCTTCACACCTCGCTAACCTATCTTCTCTCCTACAACCACATCATCGAATAAACTATGCCTTCATTTTAAACTCTTATAGCAATCTACTTTTCCATTACCTAAAATACTTCTTATCCTTTCCTCTTGTGTAATTTTACCACAATCCACTTAGAATGTAAACTGGTTTGTGCAGAGACCTTATTACCTTCAGTTCCTGTATGTCTTCTTGTGACTACTTGTTACATACTCCATCTATTACACAGTGCTGTGGAATGTGTTGGCACCTTATACATATTATTAATAATACTAATAATACTAATAATAATAAATATGCATTTTAAATTATTAAAATCCATTTATCAAGTATCAAAATATATATCTTACATTTTTTAAGTAAGCATATAATATAAAATAGAAAATGATATTTATATTTATCTCTGTCAGTGGATTCTCACCTCAATGTTTGGATTAATTGATTCTGGGACTTCGAGAACAGTTAGAAGTACAGAAGACAGTTTGGTAAGATTGTTAGTGATAATGAATATCAGGTTGTAGGATGTTTATTTAATTCAGATGCTTCAATAGATTGAATGTGGCAACATAATAATTTAAAAAGTACAGAAAATGTATTGTAAGGACCTGGTTATTTAGAACTTGGTTTTAAGACTTAAACCTTGACTGCTTAGCCTCCAATAATACTTTGAACATGGACTTTTGGATGTTGCTATGTCCGGTTCTTTTATCAAATTTCTATTATCATATGGACGGCATGATCTCTCTAATATCTTTCTGGGAAACAGTTAAAGACTTGATTCAATGGAGGATAACTTGCTAATTGAGAATGCCTCTAAAACTTCTCCTGATCTGCACTTAAGCAATACTCATGAAAACTTCAAGTAGATCTAGAGTTACTACTGTTGTATTTAAGCAATAATCAAACAGGTTACTTAGATCAAATAGGACAACTATAGAGACAGTCACATTCATAAGGGCTTACAATCTAGATTGCGATCACTGGACAAATCACAAACTCATTAACTGCATCTTATCTCATCTCTCACATAAATTCCTTCTAACAATTTACAATAAAACATTGCAATATCAATAACAAGCGTCATATGAATCTAGATCACAAATAACCATATATACTTAGCATGTGCCACGATGGGCATCCGTGAGGATCTTGTTGTTTGTGTGATATTCAGAAATCCATTTCAAACAAATCCTTAATATACCATTATAAATCCACAGACACCTCATTGTGACTCCCTAATGTGACTGATAAAGAACTAGATTGTAAATAACACTTTGCAAAATTCCCAATTGTAAATCAACATATTTATTACTTTCAAATATCCTTAAAACCATCCAATACATGACTATGAATTATTAAAAGATTCACAAAATCTCACCAGCAGTAAATTGTAGATACGCTTCCCTATTTTCCATTGAGTATTTTCTAGATTTTATAGATATATATTTATCTATATATAAAATACAAATAACTGCAAATATATAGATAAATAGATATAATTACATAAATGATTCCATAAGTATACACGTAGAGTTTAAATACATGTATATGTATATATATTAAAATTCTACATGTTTGGTAATGTTGCCTTTGAGACCATATGGAAGCACAGGAATGAGAATTACCCCCATGATGGCATACCATTTGCAAAAGTAGGAAACCCAAGGTATTGCAAGCGGGGTATATCCAGTCTTTTTTTTAGTAGCCACTTAGTCACAAACACTGGCCAAATATTTGTTGTTTGCTTTTTTACACAATAACAAATATGAACGCTAACTTTGGCCAGTGTTTGTGACTAAGTGACTATTAAAAAAGACTAGATGTACCCCACTTGCAATACCTTGGGTTGTCTACTTTTGCAAATGGTATGCCATCATGGGGATAATTCTCATTCCTAGGCTACCACACGGTCTCAAGGGTAACATTACTAATATGGCAAATTTCAATGTGAAAAAACAGAAAAATGGAATGTGCTATATTTGACCCTGTAACTTTCCAATACACCGAAAAATCTGTTAATGGGGGGATACCTGTCAGACTTTACTGAATACAAATATTTGCATTTTATTGCAGTAAAAGCTAACAGTATTATGACATTTACATTAAAAACTTTTTTAAATCTTAATTTCTCAGTTTTTTTTATTTTATTCATAATAAATTTTGTTTCATATATGAAAAGTTCATGAGAATTTAAAGCCCTGTTTCTCCTGAATAAAATTATATATAATAAGAGTGGGTGTACTTAATATGAAAGAGGTGATTTACGATTGGACAGACATATAGGGCAAATTCCAGTTTTTGTTAACATTTTTTTTTGTATCAGAATGTGTACTATTGACTCTGTCCTGAAGGGGTTAATGTCACTGTGTTGTACTCCTCAAAAAGAAAAATACATTACTTGAAATCTAATTACTTTATTATCCACCCAAGATCCTATATGGTGTGTGGACATGGTGTAGCTATACAGTGATCAGCCACAACATTAAAACCATTGACTGGTGAAGTGAATAACATTGATTATATCATTACAATGGCATCTCTTACTAGGTGGGATATATTAGACAGCAAGTGAACAGTCAGTTCATGGATTTCATGTGACAGAAGCTGGAAAAATTACAAGCAAAAAGATCTGAGTAATTTTGAACAGGTCCAAATAGTAATGAGAAGACGACTAGGTCAGAGCATCTCCAAAAGAGCAAGTCTTGTGAGGTGATCCTGGAATGCAGTAGTTAGTACCTTCCTAAAGTAGTGCAAGGCTCATTAATACACCCAGAAAGTAAAGGCAAGCCCATCTCGTCCAATCACACAGAAAAACTACTGTTGTTTAAATTGCTAAAAAGCTTAATGCTGGCCATGATGTGTCAGAACTCATACTGCATTTCATTTTGTGTGTGGGGATGTGTAGCTGCAAACTGGTGAGATTGCCCATGATTATATACTTTCTTCCAATCTATATGAAAAAAAAACGTAATGTTAACTTTTTTTTTAAAACATTCAAGTTAGAGAAACATTGGTAATTAGCAGCCATAACATGGTATCATTTGATCTAGTTTATATGGGCTGATAAAAAAATGCCTTATTTTAAAAAGGATACATTTAATAGACAAATGCATCTTTACAACTAATTGACTGGCAGGAATTTTTAACTGGCAAACACACAGAGGATAAATACAAGGTCATTAAACACATTTTACAAAAGTACACTTCTCAATACATATCTATATATAAAAGCTCATTAAGACCAATGTTGCTTAGTAAAAGGGTCAGTCAAATGATAAGAGATGGAAGAAAGTGGCATTCAAAACATTTTAATTAGAGCGGTTGATTTAATCCTATTACAAATATAAGTATGATTGCATCCTATAACAAATATAAGCATGCAAATAGGGTTTGCTAAAGTGCAAGCATATAGGGAAGACAAATATATTGCTGTAGATTTGCAAATCCCTGAAAATAAACAAAGCCAGAGGGCCATATTGTATTCACCCACGTGTGCTTAGGGAACTTTATGTAGAAATATCCATACAATTATATATAATCTTTCAGGATTCTTTTCTTTCAGGAATTGTACCAGAGTAAAGCAGACATGGTGCCTATGTTTAAAACATGTTCAAAGTCTAACTGGAAACTACACCAGTAAATGTGACAGCTGTGGTTGGGAAATTATTTAAAGGGTTGTGAAGGGATAATATTCAAGAATTAATTTTGAACAAAAAATATAAATAGCACAAGTTCATACATTCTGTGAAGAAGTTAGTAGAAATATAGACCAGGGCGATCCTGTAGATGTGATTTATTTTGATGTTGCAAAGGTATTTGATACAGTTCCACTGAAATCAGTTGGTTTAGAGAAAATATTGTGTTCTTGGACAGAACACTGGCTTGAAAAGAGAGTGCAGAGAGTGAATGTTAATGGAAAATTCAAAATTGGACAAAACTGGTAAGTGGAGTGCCTCATGGTCCTGTCCTAAGTCCACTTCTCTTTAAAGGGACACTCCAGGCACCCAAACCACTTCTGCCCTATGGAGTGGTTTTGGAGCAAACTCCCACCACCATTAACCCTGCAAGTGTAATTATTGCAGTTTTTATAAAGTGCAATTATTACCTTGCAGGGTTAAGTCCCCCTCTAGTGTCTATTAGAGGGACCTCTGTGTTCTTATAACACCACAAGTGTTTTAAATGATGCTGGATGTCCTCACGCTATGCAAGAGGACCTCCAGCGTCGCCGAAATCCCCATAGGAATGCATTGAATAATGCACAGGTCCAATGTGCGTGTATGGCCATTGCCGCGCATGCGCATTAGGTCTCCCCTGCCAGCTGATATTGGAGGGGGAGGAGCATGGGTGGAGACTGACCAAGCACCAAGGGACATCGGCACTGGATTCAGGTAAGTCACTAAAGGGAAAAAATAAGAGGGATGGAACAGCGCTATCCAAACTGACCACAACAGGGAGCGGGAGGCTGCACACCTGAAAGGAAGGGTAACCCTCAAAACTCTTCAAAGGACGTGAAAAACAGGAAAAAACAATTACAGGATGCGCCAAGAACAAAGTAAATAAATGTAATGGATAATAGGAAAAAAAAAAATAAAAATAAAAAATAAATAAATAAATACCAGGGAAACAGGCAAATTAAAGTCTCTAATTCACAGGTATATTCTTCAGAAATTCTCAGGACGTCTTGGGTCAAGTTCTCATCAGCATATATGAAAGAGAAAAAAACACACAGAGGGGACCAATGGTGCAGTAACGTAAAGGAGTATGGCTAAAGACAACACTGAGATTAAGAAATGCCAACTCACATTTATGGGAGCTATAACCAGCTCGAGTAAAGAAGCATACAGTGGTATTTAAACTCCCCACATGTAGGATATTCCTCTCATGAGATTTTCAGTGCAGGTTATATAAAATAAAAACACAAGAGAAGACCCATAGTGCTCTCTATATTAAAAAGGTGATGGATGAAATAAGAGATGTACTTACAACTTACAGAGCAGACAAACCGCTCTGTCTAAAGTGCCTGGGTGGTACGATCCCCACCATGGATTCTTTGGATGGTATAAAAGCTTCAGATGTTTAGGATATGCCAGGTAAAAAAATAAGGATAAATATAAAAGTATTTAAAATAGTCAGAAAAAATACTTTTATTTAGATTAAAACACAACGCGTTTCACCACAAAAGGCTTCTTCAAGTGTACATAAAACAGGTCAGTGGGCCTGTGCACCACCAGCAGAATACACCCAACCCCCGAGGGCCACAAGTTCAAATCCCCCCATCCCTCCAAGGCAAACACAAGCAATTTACTGGTTATGTCAAGGGGAGAGAGGGGGGGTATAAATATTATAAAAAATAGAATAGAGACAAAGTAAAAATAGAAATAAAAGGACAATAAGGTTAAATATAGGGGCAAAAATACATCATATATACCCTGTTTCTAATAAAAGACATCATTAACAGTAAGATAAATAAGATTATTAGGATAAATATTGGAGTAAAAATCTATAATTTTGTGGAGAGTAAACATGTACATTCTATTTCTTATAAAAAAGACATATATAAAATTTAATAAAAGATCTTTATAATTATAAAACAGTGTTATAGGGGATAATTATAAAAAGTTAAAAAGGTCAAAATCCACATTTAGGCCATCTGGTGTTAATGTTTTCAAGTTAAAAACCCATTCCATTTCGTTTTTTCCCATTATCTTTTTTTACTTTTCCTCCTCTCCATGGGGTTGTGCATGTTTGAATGGCTGTAAATTTTAGATCGCAAGGATTTTTTTGGTGGTGTGTCATAAAATGTTTGGAAACCGTATGATTTTCATAACCATTCTTGATATTTCTGCAATGTTCAGATATCCTAATTTTTAAACATCTGGATGTCATGCCTACATATTGGGGGACACAAGGGCACTCCAATAGGTAGACTACATTTTTTGTGTTGCACGTGATAAAGTGCTTTATATTATATGTTTTATTGGTGATATTGGATTTAAAATGAGTGATTTTATTTGGAACCAAATCCTTTGTATTCTACATATGATACATTTGCTACATTTAAAAAAACCTTTAGCATTGGATAAAGTAGAGGATTTAATTGTCTTATTTTTTGTATAGTTTTTTTGTTAAGGCTTTTAAAATTAGGGGCACCTCTAAAGATAATATTTGGTTTTGTGGGGATGATATCCTTCAAGATGTTATCTTGAAGTAGTATGTGCCAATGTTTTTGAATAATTTTTTTGATGTCTCTATTTTTATTATTAAAGTCGAATATAATTGGGATTGATGGAATGTCCTTATTTTTACTTGTTTCTTTATATTTAAGGAGACTATTTCTATCCTTGAGCTCTACTTTCGTAATTATAGAGCTTAATTTATTTTCCGGGTAATTTTTTTCTAAAAACTTATTTTTTAAAATGGTGGTTTGTGTATTAAAATCTTCTGGTATATAGAAATTTCTGTTTAGTCTTAAAAACTGGCTTTTTGGAGCACTTTCAAGCCACGGGGTATAATGGTAGCTTTTTTGGTCAATCACAGTATTTGTACACACCTTCTTAAAAAAGGTTTTGGTGTTTATCTTGCCTTCTTTAATAAAAATATTAAGATCTAAAAAATTTATTTCCTTTCTGCTAAATTCAGAAGTTATTATAATGCCCCTATCGTTATGATTTAAATGTTCTAAAAACAAGATAAGAGAACTTTCTGGCCCATTGCAGATAAAAAATAAATCATAAATATAGTGAAAATAGTAGACCAGGTTTGCCCGCCAACTATGATCCCCCCATACAGTGTCTGCCTCCCAGTCAGCCATAATTAATTTAGCATAGCTGGGGCAAACCTAGTCCTCATTGCCGTACCTCTTTTCTGAAG